CCCTTATACGTGGAGTTTTCATGATAAACCTGGATTTTGAAATAGTATTTCTTCAAGGATCTTCTGGCCCTTAAACTTCAAATCTTAGAGCACATTTTATGAAAACCGTCTGACCCTTAAACGTGGACTTTTTAATGAATATTTTTTCAAAGACCTTCTGACCCTAAAATGTGGATTTGTAATGCATATTTTTTCAAGGACCTTCTGCCCCTAAGACGTGGATTTTTAATGAATATTTCTAGGATTTAAAACGATTTTAAAACTTGACACTTAAACGAGGCTTTTTAATGACAATTTTTTCAAGGACCTTCTGACCCTAAGACGTGGATTTTTGAATGAATATTTCAAGGACTTGAAAGGGACTTTAAAATCTGACACATAAACGAGGACTTCTTAATGTAGGTTTTTTCAATGACCTTCTTTTATCAAGGACATTCTGACCCTAAAACGTGGACTGTTAACGAATATTTTTTCAAGGACTATCAAGGATACAAACGTGGATTATAAAGCATATTTTTGAAGAGCCTTCAAGGCTATACACTTGGATTTTATAAAACATATTTTTGAAGGACCTTCAGGCCTTTAAATATAGTTTTTTTAAATATTTTTAAAGGACCTTCAGGCCTATAAACATGGATATTTCAAATAATATTTTTAAGGATCTTCAAGCCTTGCACGTGGCTTTTTAAAGGAGTTTCAAGCCTTGAAACTTGGATATTTTAAAGCATAGGTTTGAAGGACCTTCAAGCCTGTGAACATATATATATTAAAGCATATTTTTGAAGTTCCTTTACGGCGATAAATGTGAATTTTTTAAAGAATATTGTTGAAGGACCTTCAAGCCTTTCAATGTGATTATTTTAAGGATATTCTTGAAGGTCTTCTAGTCTTTGACCGTGGATCTATTAAAGCATATTCTTGAAGGATCTTAAAGTCTTTAAACTTCGATTTTTAAAGCATGAAGGACCTTCTGACATGATAAACCCGATTTTTAAGGATATCTTTTAATCACCTTCAGACATGATAAACTCGAATTTTTAATTCATATATTTTTAAGAATCTTTTTGTCGTGGATCTTAAACTAGTATTTTTTCAAGGACCTTCAAAGCAATCAACTTGTATTTTCATGGACCGTCAGTGATATTAACGAGGATATCTAAATAATATTTTTCAAGGTGGGTTTTACGCATGGTTTTTTCAAGGACAACCAAAGTTCAAGGTGCAATTTTAAAAATATCAACTATATATTTGAATCTTTTTTAGAAAAATATTCAAGGACCTTAAGGAATATTTTTCAAGACTCTTCATCGTTGATTCTTTTAGAATAGTTTTCAAGGACCTTCACGAATATTTTTAGGACACTCCATCGTACATTTTTTTAGAATAATTTGCAAAACCCTTCAGGACAATTTACCAAGGACTCTTCGTCTCCATTTTTTTTTTAATTTTCAAGGACTTTCAGATATATTTTTTTGAACTTCTTTTTGTGAACTTTTTTTAATTATTTTCAAGGACTTTCAGGATTTTTGTGAGGACTTCAGATTTTTTTAGAATAATTTGCAACTCCGCAATATTTTTTATGCATTTTCAATCGTGGATTTTTTAAAATAATTTTTTAGGACTTTCAGGTTTTTTTTAAAGGCTCTTCACCGTGGAATTTTTACAAAACCCGGAATATATTTTATAATTTTTAAGGGCCGACCAGCATGTATTTTTGGGAATTGTTTTTCAAGCACATCAACATAAATGTGGAGTTTTTTAGGATTGGTCCTTCAGGACCATACAACCTGGATTTTTTAGAAATACCGTTTCAAGGGCCTTTTGAGGCGGATTTGTTAAGAATTTTTTAAGGGCCTTTTATGTGGATTGTTTGAAAATATTTTTAAATATTCAAGGACCTTCAAGAATTTCAAATTAAATTTATAAGAATATTTTTCCAAGGACCTACGAGACATTCAACGTGGGTTATTTAAAAAAAATTTCATCGGCATTAAAACCATGAATGTTCATTAACAAAAAATCCTTTTAAGGACCATCAAATCGATGACAGTAAGTTTTTGGAGATTTTTTTTTGTTAAAATTTTATGCGTTTTTTTGATGCAAACTTTTTATTCAAATCACTTCATCATTAGAATATATTTTTAAGGACTTTTCAACCTGGATTTTTTAGGAATACTTTTTCAGGGAATCTTTCAAGGCCGATTTGTTAGAAAAATTTCCAGTTGTTTTTTTAAGGACCTTCAAGACTTTCAACGTGGGTTTTTTAAAAAGAAAATGTTCATGAACCTTAAAGTCATGATGATGGACTATTAAAAAATCGTTTTAAGGACCATCAAATCGATGGCCGCATATTTATTTAATTTTTTTTGTCAAAATGTTATGCATTTTTCGATGCAATCTACTTATTCCATACTACTCCATCATTTTGGCCACTATCCTTTAAAAATGTTCTTATTCATTTTTATATCCTCCGATAAAAATTTATTGATTTCTAAATCTGACAACATTATGTTTAGATTAATATTGCATTGCAATGAATTTATGCAAGGAAATAAATAATCCATAAAAGAAGAAATACACAAACATATTTCATAAAACACAGCTTGGCATCCATTTCAGAGAACTTAGATGAAGACAGGATATTCCACAATTTGTGCTTTTATGGAGCAACTAATACATACATGTGTACATATTTTGCGGGTGTCTGTGTTGGTGTTGGTCCAACTAAACAACCACGAGCAACAACAAAGGCGTTAAGATTTATTCCTCAAAGTAGGTTGATGATTTGCATAAATTTCTTTTTAGCCAAAAGAAAGGAAGCAAACCCCCATCCAAGCGAGCTGATGTTGGCTGAATGCAACTCCTGGCCACACTTTATCATGCCATTCACGCCAACTTATCATGAGCGCCAATGGAGTAAATCTGATTTTTTTCCACTCTCTCTTTCTCTCTATCTCTTCATATCTTTCGAGGAAATGCAATCTTTGTTTTTATAGCTTAATGTTTATATCATTAAATCAAACTAGTGGTGTTGTGGCAGCCTTTGTTGTTGTTGCCGCTGCTGCTGCTTTTGCTACTGGTGCTTCAGTTCGTCCATTTAATGATAATAATAAAAATGCCAACCCTGCAGCTAAAGTTTTGTTTGCTGTTGTTGGAATTTTTATGTTTTTCGTCCTTTCCATCGTCTCATCTTCGTGATGGGGTTTTCTCTTTTTGTGTGTTAACCTATCAAGCCGAAATGCCGATGGTATCCAAGAGCAGCAGCAGGAATGAAAAAAAAACTCCCAGCATTGAAACAAAACTCTGCTACAAGCGGAAGTGAAAAAAAAAACAAGAACAACGGAAGCTCGATTATCTCCAGCGTCAAACATAAATGATAGCAACACTACGTGACACATCGACTAATTGTCATGGAAAAGAAACAAAAAACAGCAAAAACAACAAAAGTAACTTCCGTTGAGGACAGGGTTACCACTGTTTACTTTGAGTTTTAAATACCAAACAAAAAAAAAAAAAAAAAATAAATAAAAAAAATAAATAAATAAATAAAAAAAAAAAAAAAAAAAAAAATATGTAAAACAAAGTATCAATCGGGTTTGTCGACAGATGTATACCCTCAGCCAATGTTCGATGATTTGAATATATTTTGACTTCTGTTATGATTATTTAAATTGTCGACCTTCTATGGATTAGGTTCCGAAGGAATGGACCAATATTGTCCATTTCGTATCGGACCTAAATAAATATGACATAAATATTACGACGTGCAAGGTTTGGACTTTATTCTACACTTTATATGAGATATATAATTTTTAGAAAATGTTGAAAAGTTCGTGAGCTATAGTCGACCAAAGTCTTTCATTTTCATTAGATGAAGATCTACAGCAGATAAAAACATTAGTATGGAAAAAATTACAAGAAGACCGAATATTTATATCAAATTTTATGCGAAATCATAAATTCCGATAAATCCCATATTTATCTCAGGTTTCTGGTTGATAGAAATAATTAGATATAGCAAGATTTAAGAATCGCTGACTTGACAGATAAAAGTTTTGAAAATTGCCATCCTGGTACCACACCCACGTTCCAATCTTCACAACAGACCTTGAGTTAGGAAATATGTGCGTATGTGTGAAATGTAAAGAGAGTTGGATGCTTATTTCGTTTTCTTTGAGCGTTTTGTTTTTCAAAATCTTGAAGCCTATGTGGGGGAGATACCTAGAGGACTGACTCGATATCCACCATATTTATAGCAGATTTTGTGTTGATGGAAATATTGGGGAGTACAAATTCTGAATTTTATGAGCTTCTTGGATATTCAAAATTTTGGCCCTTTGTGGGTGAGGTGCCAGAAGGACTAGACCGATATATTCCATCTTCACAGCAGATCTTGTGTTTGTAGAAATAATGGGATGTGTGAAATATGAAGAGGTATCAGAAGGAATAGTCCGATCTCTACCATTTTCATAACAGGTCTTGTGTTAATGGAACTATTAAGATACACCATGTCTGAATGGAATTGGATGTTAATTTCGCTTTTTATGAGCTTCTTGGATATTCAAAATTTTGATCCTTTGTGGGTGAGGTGCCAGAAGGAGTAAGCCGATATATTCCATCTTCAAAAGTGTTAATGAAATAATGTAGAAATATTTGGTCGATTGCCATTCTTTTTGACTTCGATTCACCGAAACCTTAAATCCAAACTTAAAAAACGACAACACTGCTTCACATTGAACCTGCTCACATCGATCCCTTGACATAAAGGATGAACATCCATTTGAATGAGAGACATTCCGCAGGCATTGTATCAACTTCAGATGTCGTTGACGATTTGTTAGACATACAAATTGAACGCCGCAGGCAAAAGAAGATAGTAAAATCATTTGACGCATTTTGTCCAATTTTAACGTTTTAAAAGGCACATGTCGCCATTTAATCGGAGAACTGTTGAAAAATAAAAAGAAAAAAAAAAAAAAATAAAATAAAATGAAACTTACCTTACAGCAGGTACTTCTAATATGTCCCATTCAACGGATGTATAAAACTCTGATAAATCCACACCAACCTCAACCACATTGGTACCGTTTAGTTCATCAATGTGCCGTAAGTCAACCTGTAATGGGGGGAATGGAGAGATATATAGGACAGTTTGGGAATTATATCTTAAATTAGATTCCAAAATAATAAAAATAGCATAAAAATTAATTAAAAAATCCAATATTTGGAAATTCTTAAAAAAATATTTTTATAAAATTTTCAGCCTTAAAGTTATTTGAGAATTAGGATTTACAGGGTGAGATGAAACAACTGCAACCATCTTCAGACTGTGCTGTCATTTCTAAGCCACTCGTCCGACAGCTATTAAAATTATTCCAGTGACAGTTAATTATATTGTTTACAAGCGTATAAAAGCATTTTGGTGAGAATTTTCCACAAACAAAGTTATTCGTGATGGAATTCAAGCGTGATAGTGTGATTTCTTTATATTTGGCTGGAAAACCACAAGTGGTTATCGTTAGAGCACCCCAGCATTTAAATGTGAAGAAATCTTTTGAATCTAGTACCATCGCTCGTTACCGTGGACGGTAAGTTCGTTACCGTGGACGTGGTTCGAAAAGTAAAGAAGCGACTTGATCGAAACCCGCGTCGCAGTGCCCGAAAAATGGCTGGTGAGCTGAACATATCGCAATATTTCATGTGGCAAATATTGAAAAATGAGTTCGGAATAAAGCCATTGAAATTCCAAAAAATGCAAGAACTTACACTGCAACGGAAAGAAAATAGACTGAAAAGTGCTAAAGAGTTGTTTCGCTTGGCCGAAAGTGGTGAACTACCGACTTTGGTTTTCTCCGATGGGAAAACATTCGTTGTCCAGCAGTTTGTAAACAAACAAAATGATCATGTTTACTTGCTAAAGAGGTCAGCTGAAAATGTGCACCTTCGGTTGGCCACCAGAACTCAAGCGCCGGCCATGGTGATGATGTGGCCCGCCATAACAGCCGATGTTCGCTCTCCGATCGTATTAACCGACCGTGGCATCAGAATAAATGCCGAATATTATCGCGAAAATATTCTGGTGGGTGTATTAAAGCATTCCAAAAGGACTCAGCACCATCGCACTCAGCACGCGCTACCCAAGAATGGTTACAAAATGAGGTTCTTCGCTTCATTTCTAGCGCACAATGGCCACCAAAATCTCCGGATACCAATCCTTTGGACTACTTTGTCGGGAGTATTTTGGAAAGCAAGGTTGGCACTAAAAAATATGAAAGTGTCGATCACCTCAAGCAAGCGCATCGTAGGGAATGGGTAAAAATACCTCAGAGCAACATTCGGGTAGCGTGTGAATGTTTCATTGGCCGTTTGAAGGCCAAAGGTGACCAATTCGAACAAATCTAAATTTATTCTAAAATTTGATTCTATTTCCGACATTTTTGCTTTCATTTAATGAAATTTAAAATAAAAAACCAGTAAAGAAAGTCTTAAAGTCAGGCGAGGCTGACTCTAGATACCATACACCACTTTGCTAATTTAGTAGAGCTCAACATAACCGTTAAAAGTTTTTATGGGAGAATTCAATCATACACCCTATGATTATAATTATAATTTAAAATTTAAAGGACTAAATACGCCGAAGCATTTGTATCTTTTAAATTCGGATTTGTATTGCCCATTTGGTGCAAAATTAATTCTAAATCAGATAAAGATATATATGGGAGCTAAATCCAAATCTGAACCGATCTCTATAAAATTTTGCAAAGATATTTTTGAACTGTATTTCATATATTTCCTTAAATATCGTTGTTATGGAGTGCATATTACGGCTGTGGGTAACAAATATAACAAATCTGATGAACAATATATATGGAAGCTATAGCTATATCAGAACTGATCCTCACCAAATTTGACATACTAGCTTCTAGACTCAATTCGGTCGTAAGTGCCAAACTCCATCCCATTCAGACAAATATTAGACGTTTGGTGCACAATAAAAGGTAATTCGGACTAAGTTATATATGGGAGCTATATCCAAATCTGAATCGATCTCGATAAAATTTAGCAAACGTATTTCTGAGCTGTATTTGATAGATTTCCCCAAATATTGTTGTTACAGAGTGCATATTACGGCTGCGAAGTACCAAAAATAACAAATCGGATGAACAATATATATGGGAGCTATAGCTATATCTGAACCGAATTCGATCAAATTTAGCATACTTATTTTCAGGCTTAATTTGGTTGTATGTGCAAAATTCCTTACTATTCGAGCTGATATTGCACGTTTGGTGTACAATAAAAGGCAAATCGGACGAATATATATATGGGAGCTATATGTAAATTTTGACCGATTATCTCCAATTGCAATAGAGTTCGTCCTTGGGTCAAACAAATGATTTGTGTAAAGTTTCATCTGGATAGGACAATAAATGCGAACTGTACTTTGTTTACCAAAATAAATGGACAGACGGACGGACGGACATGCATAAATCGACTCAGAATGTGATTCTATGCAGATTATCAAAAGAAAGTATGGGTCTACCTCGTTTCCTTTTGCCTGTTACAAACAAATGCACAAAGACATAATACCCTTATGGTGTAGGGTATAAAAATGTAAAAATGATGACGTTTGACTTTGTTGCAGTTTTTTTATTTCACCCTGTATCATGTTTATTTTAAAGCACCTTTTTTTGTCAAAAGGTCAATTTTTTTTTTGAATGTACGATTTTTTTTAAATGGCTTTTTGTGCATTTTTGTAAATTAATAGTTTTTTCATGAAGTTCTGATTTTCAGACATCCTTGAAAGAGAACCGCAATTTATGTCCATATAAAGTTTGATATCTCGAACCACACGAATACTCCCATTGCATTATGTGGGATTCGGAATTTTTCAAAATTTTGCCAGTTCAATTAGGAGGTACCAAATAGGGTAAGTCTATGTATACCATTTAATAATAAATATTTATATCAATAAATATTTATGTTAGACTTATGCTGGCTAATCTCATTATAAATTCTCAACACTTTCGGATTTCTACAAATCCTTGTACATTATTGTATTTCTGCAAATACTAAGTCTGGATAGAATATGGGATAGAGATAAACATTTTCAATAACCGAAGCTCTCAAAAATATGAAATTAATGTTAGATTGACTTTCTCATTGGGCCCTTAGGGCGTATGATATACGACTAATTTCATTAAGTCAATGTTAGTGTATTACTCATACGCATATGTGTACCAGAGAAAGAGTAATTCGGTAAATCTCACCTTCGAGGATGTATACGACTTCATATTCAGTGAAGGTTACATCCCAAGCTATATTCTAAATATTACTTTATGTACATATACCTCGGACTGCACCTTCCATTGATATTTAACACATTGCTCCAATACATTTGATATATTATTCTTTCTTACATCGAAATGCTCTTCTAATTCCCTAAACCAAATTCCCACAAACTTTCGTTTGATGTTGCAAAAACCAAATTAATTAGCTCACTTTTGTTATTGTTTTATGTCTTGCAGTAGACTGCCATGGCTTGCCTGGCATGGCCTGGCCGGGCCCTCTTTAATTACAAACGAGGAATATCAATGAAACACTTATGGATTCGTTCATTACTCACGCCCAAATATTGTTCACTAAAATTAATCACGTTTTATTTTTGATACGATGACCAGAAGAGAGTCAGAGAAAGAGAGAGGGCGAGAGAAAGAGGGGCGATTTAATGATGAAGGGCCGAGCCATAAAATTGCCACTTCATGGCCGGTCGTTGAGTATTTGTATTGTAAAAGAAATTAACTGCTGGCCAGATTGTTAACAATGCTTGAGGTTATTTGTTTTCGATGGCTAATAAAAATGGTAATAAACAATAACTGTGAGCACACTCACACAGCGGCCAGCGGGAAAGAGGGGAGAGACAAAGTGAGAGAGAGAGAAAGCTACATAACACAGTTAATGTTTGGTATTTGGCCAAGCAACGACGCCTCTTCAAGGATACTTAAACGCTTTTCCGTGGCATATAGCTGGCATTATTGAAGACACACATACACACACAACAAAAGTTGCTTACATTTATCCATAATTGGACTTTTTATGCTAGCAGCTATTTAACAACACTCACACACACAGATGTTGGCCATTTAAATGAAGTGAAACAAATGAGATATATGTGAGCGTGTGTATGTTTGTTTTTTAATATTTAAATAGTTATTAATAAAGTGGAATGTGTAACAAAGATCTACATTTACATATATTGCTATTTCGAATAATGTGAACGATTAGAACTTAAAGCATGAAATTTGGAATGAGAATCAAGGTTGAGGAGTACAGTCGATGTAAGGAGGTTGCTTTGGAAGTGTGTGTGCTCACTTACACGAAAAATACTAAACGGTACTGAATTTAGTACAATTTGAATTTGGAGAAACGTATGGAGCTGGAATCCTGAAATTTGAAATTAACATTTCTGGAGGAGTGTAGGATTGGGATATGGAGTAAATTATCGAATTTTATTCCAATGTGCATGGAATGTACTAAATGGTACTAAATTTGGTACAATTACGAATTGGGTGAATCGATAGAGCTGGAATTTTGAAATTTAGAAATAAGATCACTATTGCATTTTAGGGGTAAGAAATGTCGTTTTGAGAATTCGTACTTATGTGTACTAAATTGTACTAACTTTGGTACAATTAAAATTTTATAAGAACTAGTAGAGTTGGATTTCTAAAATTTGGCAATAAGATTACTATAGCATTGTAGGACTGAGCCATGTAGGTAGTTTTGGGAAATCGTACTTATGTGTACTAAATGGTACTAAATTTGGTACAAATTGAAAATGCGATGAACCAATGAAGCTGGAATTCTGAAAATTGGAATAAAGGTCAATGATGAAGTGCAGAATAGATGCACCAATGGGTTATTGGAAATTCGAACTTTAAATTCAGGAAATGTTACTGAACTTCTAAAATGGTACCATTTGGTATTATGTGAAATTATAAAACTAAAAACTTAAAATTCGGCATGAGAATCAAGGTTGAAAAGTATGTTTGATACATCAACGTGGTTTTGGAAATGTGCACTAAATGTTCGAACTATACTAAATGGTGCTAAATTTAGAACAATTTGGTTTAGTATAACCGGATGAAGCTACAATTTTTAAATTTTTTATTGGGACTTAAGTTGGTGGTAGGTTTTGGAAATGCGTACTAAATGTGTACTATAATTGTACAAAAAGAACTGAATGATACTAAATTTGGTATTGGGTGAAGGGACAAAGCTGATATAGATGTCACTTTTGAGAGAAGATGTGCACTATATTTGTACAAAAAGTGCAAAATGGCACAAAATGTGCCGTGGAGAGGAGGTGATTTGGGATGTGCGTAGTGTAACTGTAAAAAAATATGGTAACACATGGTTGCCATTCGGTAAATATTGAAAAATGAGCTCGGGGTAAAGCTATTGAAATTCCAAAAAGTGCAAGAACTTACACCGCAACAGAAGAAAATAGACTCAAAAGAGCTAAAGAGTTGCGTCGGTTGACCGAAAGTGGTGAACTGCCGAATGGGGTTTCAAGCACTGGCCATGGTCCGCTCGTATCAGAATAAATGCCGAATATTATCGCGAAAATATTCTGGAGGGTGTAGTAAAGCCTTGGGCACGCAAATATTTTGACCGCAGACCCTTGGACATTCCAAAATCTCCGGATACCAATCCGTTGGACTTTTGTGTCTGGAGTATTTTGGACAGCAAGGTTGGCACTAAAAAATACCAGTGTTGATCACCTCCAGCAAGCACTTCGCCGGGAATGAGCCAAAATACCACAGAGCAACATTCGGGCAGCGTGTGACGGTTTCATTGGTCGTTTTAAGGCCATAATTCGTGCCAAAGGTGACCAATTCGAACAAATCTAAACGTATTCTAAAATTTGATGCTATTTCCGAGATTTTTTGCTTTCATTAAATTAAATTAAAAAAAAAATGTAAAAATTATGGCGTTTGACTTTGTTGCAGTTTTTTTATCTCACCCTGTATATACGAGAATCTACATTTTCCATTACTGTTTCAAATTCTCATTGGTCAAAGAGGTTTTAGTTCTGGGGAAACTTTACCACAAATTTGTAGGATTCATTTTTGTTTTTAATTGAATTTTGAAAATTGCAGGTATCAGATAGAGGAGACCAATATTGTTCATCTTCGAGCTCGATGTCAATTATAATGAATTTGGACCATTCAGAAATTGGTATGCGCCTGACATTTTTTCTTTATTTTCTGTAGCCATTAGTATTGAATTGACCATCTCTGTATGTGGTCGGATCATAGATGTGTTTCGCATTTTGGGCTCTTATAGTCGATTAAACTGGGTTATAGTTTTTGTGTGTGCGTTGTTTAATTTACTTAATGAATTGAAGAATAAATGTCAATCGAATGTAATTTTTGAATAAATGGATGGAAAATGTTATAATCAAAAACTAATAACAGTTTTTTTAACCAGTTTAGAATATTTTTTACAGAATTCGCTAGGGAACTGACTATATAGACTGTCATCGTGAATTTGGGATTTTTTTGAAGAATAAATTTGTATGGAATACCTTAATTGGAATCTTGAGTGTTTGCAAAATATTGAGTCTATAATTTGGAATATTTTTTTATTTAGAATATTTTCCTTAACATTTGGATCTTCTGGGTGTGTGTGTTTTTTGTTTTAAGAATTCTCAATAAATGACATTAAATTTAAAATATTTTTTTTACATTTGTAAAGAATTCAATTTCCAAAATCCAGTCAGTTGCAGTGACTCCATGAAAAATTGCACAACTTAAAGAAAAATACTTAAATATTTTGCATTCCCAGATTTTGATTTTATTTTTAAGCTACGATAAGGAAAAAACAGCATCTTCCTTATCCTAAGAAGTAAATGTTTTCGTTTTCCTCCGACATTAAAACTTTCCGTTGGGTGGCCAAGAAAAAAACATTGTTTCCTTTAATACCCAACATCAGACATCATCTGTGCAACTTAACTAGGCTGCAGATCAAAACGTTCAACAAAAAAAAGGAACGTAAGGAAAAACATCTAAAAATCACCGCAACCCAACTAAACGTCTCGACCAAAAAAAAGCAAGAAAAGAATTTTTTCCACCAGCCAGAGAACATAAACTAAACACTTTAGATGATGTTTTTAACAAAACGGAAATTGTTACTGTGAGCAATGAAGGAAATTAGTTTAATAAACTATTTCCTTGGATACCCTCCTGTTTACGGGCACCCACGAACGATAGACAGCAAACCTGACATGATATTACGTCGTCGTCTCACGTTTCGCAGCTACCTAGATAGGTGTCTGTTTATTTGTTTGTTTGTGTAGAAGTTAATATCAGCTTCATTATGGTTGTAAATGTTAGAGAAACACATCAACACACAATTTAACATTGGGCTACACCTTTTGCAATGGCAATGAATGGAACTATCTCTCCTCTCTTTCCCATTGGCTTTCTTCTCCTCTCGTCACTCTTTTTAAATTCTTTCCAAAGCAATTACATTTTAAAACCCTACTTAAAAACCTTTTCATATCAAATGATGTATGGCAATTCATGTACACCACTACACACACACGGCGAGAGAGAAAGAGAGAGAGAGAGAGAGAGAGAGCAGTGGCACGTAGGTATTGCATATCTTTGGTGAAAATGTGTGTATGTATGTGGGAGTGTGGAATTAATTTCATTTGGCAAATACACACACAGGTGTGTGTGATGCATGTGTTGGAATCCATTCACATATCCCTAACCCAGGGTATAGAAGTAATAAAGTTGTAGATTACATCGAAGTGTTCACTTTGTCGTGGAGAGTTATTGATCCATTTAAGATGGAATCGTGATGGTCGGTAACATTTCTTTTGAGGGCACCATAACAACAATTCTGAACAGTGGTTCAGAGTTTTAAAATTGATAATCTTAAACTTTAGAGAATAGCAAAATGGTGAGAAATTATAAGATTTCCCATGAAATGACTATTTCTTTGAAAAAGACGTTTCCATAGGAAATCTTCAATTCAGCCTGGGCTGAATAGAGGTTTCCGTTAGGAAAACTTCTAGTCAGCCTGGCCTGAATAGAGGTTTCCATAGGAAAACTTATATTCAGCCTCGGCTGAATAGAGGTTTCCATAGGAAAACTTCAATTCAGAGTTGGCTGAATAGAGGTTTCCATAGGAAAACTTCAATTCAGCCTGGGCTGAATAGAGGTTTCCGTTAGGAAAACTTCAATTCAGCCTGGGCTGAATAGAGGTTTCCGTTAGGAAAACTTCAATTCAGCCTGGGCTGAATAGAGGTTTCCGTTAGGAAAACTTCAATTCAGCCTGGGCTGAATAGAGGTTTCCGTTAGGAAAACTTCAATTCAGCCTGGGCTGAATAGAGGTTTCCGTTAGGAAAACTTCAATTCAGCCTGGGCTGAATAGAGGTTTCCGTTAGGAAACTTCAATTCAGCCTGGGCTGAATAGAGGTTTCCGTTAGGAAAACTTCAATTCAGCCTGGGCTGAATAGAGGTTTCCGTTAGGAAAACTTCAATTCAGCCTGGGCTGAATAGAGGTTTCCGTTAGGAAAACTTCAATTCAGCCTGGGCTGAATAGAGGTTTCCCTTAGGAAAACTTCAATTCAGCCTGGGCTGAATAGAGGTTTCCCTTAGGAAAACTTCAATTCAGCCTGGGCTGAATAGAGGTTTCCGTTAGGAAAACTTCAATTCAGCCTGTGCTGAATAGAGGTTTCCGTTAGGAAAACATCAATTCAGCCTGGGCTGAATAGAGGTTTCCACAGGATAGCTTCAATTCAGCCGGGCTGAATAGAGGTTTCCATAGGATAGCTTCAATTCAGCCTGGCTGAACAGAGGTTTCCGTTAGGAAAACTTCTATTCAGCCTGGCCTGAATAGAGGTTTCCATAGGAAAACTTATATTCAGCCTCGGCTGAATAGAGGTTTCCATAGGAAAACTTCAATTCAGCCTGGGCTGAATATTGGGTTTCCGTTAGGAAAACTTCAATTCAGCCTGGGCTGAATATTGGGTTTCCGTTAGGAAAACTTCAATTCAGCCTGGCTGAATAGGGTTTCCGTTGGGAAATCTCCTATTCAGCCTGGCTGAATAGGGTTTCCGTTAGGAAATCTCTTTCCGGCTGAATAGGGTTTCCATTGGGAAATCTCCTATTCAGCCTGGCTGAATAGGGTTTCCATTGGGAAATCTCCTATTCAGCCTGGCTGAATAGGGTTTCCATTGGGAAATCTCCTATTCAGCCTGGCTGAATAGGGTTTCCGTTAGGAAATCTCCTATTCAGCCTGGCTGAATAGGGTTTCCGTTAGGAAATCTCCTATTCAGCCTGGCTGAATAGGGTTTCCGTTAGGAGAACTTCTATTCAGCCTGGCTGAATAAGGTTTCCGTTAGAAGAACTTCTATTCAGCCTGGCTGAATAGGGTTTCCGTTAGGAAAACTTCTATTCAGCCTGGGCTGAATAGGGTTTCCGTTAGGAAAACTTCTATTCAGCCTGGGCTGAATAGGGTTTCCGTTAGGAAAACTTCTATTCAGCCTGGGCTGAATAGGGTTTCCGTTAGGAAAACTTCTATTCAGCCTGGGCTGAATAGGGTTTCCGTTAGGAAAACTTCTATTCAGCCTGGCTGAATAGGTTTTCCGTTAGGAAAACTTCTATTCAGCCAGGCTGAATAGGTTTTCCGTTAGGAAAACTTCTATTCAGCCTGGCTGAATAGAGTTTCCGTTAGGAAACTTCTATTCAGCCTGGCTGAATAGGGTTTCCGTTAGGATTTTTTTCTTTAGGAAAATTTATATTCAGTCATTTAATTTCATTTGGAACAATTTCTGATTCCCTTTAAACCCCTGTTATTCCTTTCATTTTTCCTTATTTTAAAAATGCCGAACTTAACTTTCTCAAGGGTCACTTATTGTACATCCAATATAATGGCAATAGAACTCACCTGGAATCCATCATATGTCCAACTGCCGAATTTCATGACACAAGTTTGTTCATCGAAGGGAAAATATTCGACATCAATTTCACATGAACTTTTGTAGATAGCAGGTGGTCGCCACTCAACACGTCCCGTGTAGTTGAGTGTTGCCTTGGTGGCCAAAGTTACTTCGAAATTACCATCAGCACTGGATGGATTCGCGGGGAATGAGGCGGGGGTGTGGCAAAGACGATGGCGATGACCGGTGAAGAGGAGTTGTGGCGAAAAAAAATCATTACAACAGCGAAACAGCATCGAACAAGAAAGATGGAGATATAAAAAAGAAACAAGTTAGTTGTTGTTTTTGTTGTTGTTGTACATACAATAATTGGAAAAGTTTTAGAGTCATGAAATGAATGAACAAATATGTGTTGTGTTCCATGGATGTGGTTTGAGTGGAAATGAGGTCTGGACAAACAGAGATGGTGGGATGAGACCAATGCTTGACTTACTTGTTGTAGAGGACAATATCCGGTCGCCATATATGATCGCTGGGCACATGCAACATTTCCACACCGCCATACTCCTTGGGCTCCCACTGCAGTTTGTAGTCATACCAGGACTGTTCCACCCACAAGTTCGTTGTCATGATTTGATTCTTCAGATTGACATCAATCAGCTGTGACAATTTGAGTTTAATGCGTACCGTCAGAGCGTCCGTTACATTGACCACGGGTCGTACCAATTTGTTATAGTTACTAAGGAGATCGTCGTACAGACGTTTTGCATCGGGATTCGATGTGCTGCCTGAAACGAGAGAGAGAGAGAAGAAAACATATCCCAAAATTAGAAGGGCTTTTCGTCACCACTCTCCGAGTTAAATAATAAAATCATCCTCATAAAATAAAAGTCATAAATAAATGATTGTGGCTGGTTTCCTATGTATGGGTTGCCAGTTCGATGTCCGTCTGCAACCATCTATTTGTCGGCTGGTATGTCTGATTGTTTGCAATAAATTTGTTTGAATTTTTATTACAACCATTTAAGATGTAATTTATGTTGTTATCGTCAGTTCACATGGAAACTGTGTCTCGGCGACAGGCTCGCCAGCACCATCGTCGTACTCATCATCCCCATCATCAGCGGCCACCACAATGGCCAACATGGTTATGGCCTGGCCGCTGCAAAGGCTTGGCGGTATACCAAGCCAAACCAAACCCAACCCAACCGACGGAAGTTAAAATCGAAGTGAGAACACAAAATGAAAATGAATTCTGATGTTCAACAAATGATGGCAATAAAAAATTAAATTTTATGTTTGCAACGATTGAATTTAATTGTCATAAAACGTATGATCATTAATTTTGTTATTGTCTTTTTGCTGTCGTTGTTGTGTGAGAATAAAACCTCGCAGAGTAATTAACAGCCGAGGAGGGAGGGGGAGAACAATTGAGTTAAATAATTTATTAATACAATTCGGAATAAAAAATATTTCAATTAAACTAAGTTATTCTACGAAAAACCCTCTGCAACGAGAATAAATAAAAGTTCTCCAAACGGAAACTCTATTCAGCCAGTCTGAATAGAAGATCTCCTAAGGGAAACCCTACTCAGCCAGGCTGAATAGGAGTTGTCCTAACGGAAACCCTACTCAGCCAGGCTGAATAGGAGTTGTCCTAACGGAAACTCTATTCAGCCAGGCTGAATAGGAGTTGTCCTAACGGAAACTCTATTCAGCCAGGCTGAATAGGAGTTGTCCTAACGGAAACTCTATTCAGCCAGGCTGAATAGGAGTTGTCCTAACGGAAACTCTATTCAGCCAGGCTGAATAGGAGTTGTCCTAACGGAAACTCTATTCAGCCAGGCTGAATAGGAGTTGTCCTAACGGAAACTCTATTCAGCCAGGCTGAATAGGAGTTGTCCTAACGGAAACTCTATTCAGCCAGGCTGAATAGGAGTTGTACTAACAGAAACTCTTTTCAGCCAGGCTGAATAGAAAGTTTTCCTAACGGAAACTCTATTCAGCCAGGCTGAATATGAAGTTTTCCTAACGGAAACTCTATTCAGCCAGGCTGAATAGAAGTTGTCCTAACGGAGACTCTATTCAGCCAGGCTGAATAGGAGTTCTCCTAACGGAGACTCTATTCAGCTAGGCTGAATAGGAGTTGTCCTAACGGAGACTCTATTCAGCCAGGCTGAATAGGAGTTGTCCTAACGGAGACTCTATTCAGCCAGGCTGAATAGGAGTTGTCCTAACGGAAACTCTATTCAGCCAGGCTGAGTAGGAGTTGTCCTAACGGAATCTCCATTCAGCTAGGCTGAATGGAAACCCTATTCAGCCATGCTGAATAGGTGATTTCCTAATGAAAACCCTATTCAGCCAGGATGAATAGGTGATTTCCTAATGGAAACCCTATGCAGCTGGCCTGGAGATCGGTTTTTTTTCGAAGATTTTTTTTTTCAATTTTCATTAAAATTAAATCTGACCTAAATTTCCTTATTTTTCTGTAAAATCATTCCTTCACCTTCCAAATTCTCTATATGCTCCCACTTTTTTTCCTTTTTTGTGGTCTGCATATTTTATGTTGACTTCCTTTAAGCCCTGACTTCGAGGGGTCAAAAACAATTTTTCATCTTTCATTAAATCATTGATAAATATTTGAATTTTATTCACATCCACAGAGATATCAGATAATGGACATTTCTTTTGTTGCCAAACAATAACTTTGGGCCTATAGCTCCGCCGAGGAGAGCGAGGAGTTGTGCCAGTGACAGGGCGAGGAAGACATGGGTAAGGAAAATTTGCCTATTGTTCAATATTTGTATGAATAATGATTTGATTGATTCTTTCTAATTCGAAATATTTAAATTAATATTCACAGAATCGAAGACTGGGAGCGGGGGGAGGATGAGGTGTTGAATGGAAGAAATACCCAAACTTTTCGCAATAATGCCTCGCCTAATAGTCTCAAAAGTGACAGTGATGGGTATTAATTGTGTTTACTTTGTCAAATCTTCAATCCATCTCCCAAAAATTGTTGAAAAAGGAAATCAAACAAAAGGAACAATAAACGAGCCCATTTCGGCTCAGTTTATTAGTTAGACAATGGCCTGGAATCGGTCAGGCGGGATGAAGAGAGGCCGAAGCGGAGACCATGAGATAAGTTAAGCTAAACTGTTTATTGATAAATGCCAAAAGTTTATTATTTGTTTGGCCATTTGTATAAATAATAAATAATTACTGAATAACAATAACAAATTAGCCGAACAATAACAGCCATGGATGGCATGGCATGCCCTAAAAGCCAATAAACAGAATGGAATGAAATGGAAAAATAGATTCATCAATAATGATGTTATGTTCGGGAGAATGTTTGCAGGGATAATAATATTTTAGTAGAATTTCAATTTTAGAAATACAAAGAAAATTATTTGAAAAAAAATTATGAACATAATGAGATTTGAAAATTTGTGGATATTTCAAGATTGAATGGGGTTTTTAAAATAAAACTGCAATTTGATAATTGAAAATTATTCCAATATGGATGTTTATTTGGTGACGGAAAGAGGATTGTACGGACGGATTGTAGTTATAAGAAAGTAAAGGCAATAACCATTTAAAGGTCAGCTATAGCTGGAATATCAAGGATATAGGCCTTTTTTAAGGAATATTTTTCAAGGATAATCAATACCATAAACGTGGATTTTTTAAAGAACATTTTTCAAGGATAATCAATATACGGGGATTTTATATAATATTTTTCAGGGATAATTATTTCTGGAATATCATTAAGAGGTTTTTGGTGTTCCATAGACTAAAGATCCTAAAAAATTGTCCTTAGATAAAAATGCCAGTCACGGGCATCCTCTTAATGGAAGTCATTAAATGGTCTTTTATGCAACGACAATCTTAAAGAGGTCCTTAAAAATACCTAGATTTTTTCTAAAAAAATCATTATAATAATCCTGATGGATCAAAAAAAAAAAAAAAATAATAATAATAAATCAAATAAAAATAAATAAAATTAAATACCTTGAAAAAATTTTAAAAACTATTCAAATATAAAAGAATAAATATCATGAAATTTCCTAATATCTATTGCCACTGTTTCCAAAAGAATATATATTAACGTCCCCGAAAATATTAAAAAAATGGTTAAAATCCTTAAAAATCAAATCTAAAATCCTTGAAAATAATTTAAAAAATAAAAAAACACATTTGTAGTAGTTGAAAAAATATTAAAAAATGTAAAAAACTAAAAAAAAACCTGAAATTTTCTGATAGCTTTTGAAACAGTTGTCCTTGAAAAAAAAAAAAAAAAACTTTCAGAGAAAATCATAAAAAACGCTGAATCAAAGGTTTTAAATATCAGTAATCAAGTTTTAACTTTCTTAAATCCTATGAAATAATCCTGACAATTCTTGGAATCTATAAAATACACAACTACAGTTATTAACAAAATTTGTCAAAAAAATAAGGTATTTGTACAAAATTTAAGAAAATCAACTTTAAAGTCCTTGAATGTTTCCGAAAATCTACAATAAAATTTCTCATAAGATTTAGAGCATGAAACAAATGTTTAAAGGTCCAAGATTACAGTTTAAATCCTTAAAAATCTAAAATAAATCCGTAGTCGTTGAAAAATAAATCAGTAAAAAATCCAAAACATTGTTTTTTTAAAAAAAATTTATTAAGATTCTTAAAATATATAAATAAAAAAACCTCGAGTATAGCCTTTAATGACGATCCTTGAAATAATATTTAAAAACTGGTACACTAGGGATCCGAATTGCGTCGTTAATGGGCCAGAAAAAGTTCGACGCAAGTCGAAGCGACGCAATTTGAATCACTTTTTTCATAGTGTACTTCAGTGCTGAAAACTCTTTAAAAAATGATGCCCGATTTTCAGCAGTTTGTAGCTTTAAAATTCCGTTGAACATTTTCTTAATAATGCAAATCTGAAATTTCCCCTAAAAATAAAATTCACGCCATTGGATCTGGTAACACTAGATTTTTATAAAAAAGAACAAAAAATGTTCATTCTTTTTTTAAAATGAATATTGGAACACCGATGGGGTGTTTCTCATTTTTTTTACAAAATCCATTGCAAAAACTTTGAAATTCATGTTGTTAAAAAAAATCGTTAAAAAATTTTAAAAGAATCCTGCTGGTCCTTAAAAAATCTTAAAATATCCTCCCCCCGATATTTATTAAAAAATATCCTTAAATATCCTAGTTCATAAAAAAATCACCAATAGAATCCCAGTTAATGACCCTGATGTCCTTGAAAACTTCTCTTACAAATTCACGTCCATATTCCTTGGAGCTATATTTTAAAAAAAATCACGTTTATATCCTTGTTTGTTTTTAAAAAATTCTCGAAAAATCCACATTTATATCCCTGATGTCCTTCTCTCAAAAATCTACGTATGTATACTTGATTGTCCTTAAAAAATTATTTTTAAAAAATTCTCTTTTATATCTCTGATATCCTTGAAAACTTAGAAATCGACGTATATATCCTGGATTGTCCTTGAGAAAACATTCTTCAAAAATCCTCATGTATGTGCTTGACTATCCTTTGAAAAAATGTTCTCTTAAACTCCACGCCAATATTTTTGATTGTCTTTGAAAAAACTTCTCTTCCAAGCCCTTGAAATAAATACTATTTAAAAAATCCACGTTTATTTCCCTGATTGTCCTTGAAAAAAATATTCATTAAAAAATCCACGTCTATATCCTTGATTTTCCCTGAAATTAATATTCTTTAAAAAATCCACGTCTATATCCTTGAAAGAAATATTCC